ACCGGGGAGCAAATANAACTTGCACGAAATCTTCGTCGAATGGGCATATCGATTCTTCCGAGGGATATAAGGACGGACGAGAGCGTGACTATCTGTGATTGTTCCCGTTGATTGACTCAATTGTTCTATAGGTCCGAGGGGGCTGTTACGAACAGCATTTAGAGATTCTGTCCGTAGAAGTCTCTGAACCTTATTCGATGGGATATAAGTGATTTGTGATATATATCTATATAAATAAATAAACCCCGATCCAGCTGACCGTCTCCGAACGCCGCGACTCGATCGATCCTCCTCTAACCTCTCTCAGAATCACGCCGACGCGACGACGTGCATGATTTCAGTTCTCTCATGAAGTGAGTCGGACAAGGCCGATTCTCGAGTTTCGAGATAGCTCGCGTGTTTGGAATCACGGCGGTAGGCGACGTCCAGAAACCGCTGTGTATTTACTCCAGTGCGTGATAGGAGCCTCGAATCGAGGGTACCGGGTGATTTGAGCGCGGATTGATGGGAGATGATTCGGGCTGTGTGAATAGGACTGCCCCGAACCCGTTGGTAAATGCGAGCAGGACGCTGCCACTCAATGTCCGCTGAGTACAGCTAATGGACACCGCTTCCTGGCTGTTGTACTCGTCCGCCAGGCATACGTCCGAATTCCGAAGGGCGCTCCCTGCCTGGGTGGAGGGTATGTCCTCCTGGTCACATCGAAGCTATTGTTCGACAGAGGTCACATCGGTGATGGTCGACCCCAGAGTATGTCCAGCTCCCTTGGACGGCGCAGGAAGAGAGTCGTCATATGGTCTCCGACTCCATCTGTTCACAGACGGTCCCTATCGAGTGGTACGTACCCTATCTTCATCTCGACGCCTGCCGCGCATCCGGCTGCTGAGGAATCATGAGGCTCACGATGATCAAGTCGGTAATAAGAAGGCTGTAGACTACATCCATCGCAAGCCTCGGTCGTCGGGGAGTCGAACTTGGTCTGGAGCGTATGCCCTGAATCGGCTTCGTGGCGGGATCCCTTGAGAGTTAGTGCTATTGTTCGGAGG